CTTTATGACCGAAGTGAGAAATGAATCCAAAGCTCCCTGCTCAAATAGCTGCATGACAATGACAATAAGCATGCCTGCACCTGATTCCTTATGACGAGTGGCACAACAAGTATGGTGGACATTCGTGCATCTGAATACCTCTCAAATTCCCGTTCCCGAAATAATTGTCTAGATAGACACGTCAGGCTCCGATTGTCCTGCTAAGTAAGCCACGTGGATACCTCACAAAGGCCTATAAATACCCCCAGGGGCCACCTCAGAAAGGTAATTGAAACCAACCCTAAGCTCTTTTTATCTCCGCTCTAAAGGTAGCCTCAATTATTGCTGACTTAAGCATCGGAGTGTCTACCCCGAGTTCCACCTCGGGGCTTTGCAGGTCTTCCCGGAGTACAAGTGTGGACTGAAGAAGGACTCCTGGTTTGGTGCAATTACAGTTCTCAAAAGAAGAGGAAGTCGGTGGCTTAGGGGGGCTGGTCGGGGAGCAAAAGAAGAAGAGCAGGTCGCGGGTCTAATGAGGAAGAAAAGAAAGAAAGAAACAAGGAAAAAGGAAAGCAGCTGATCCTTATCTTAATTTTCTTTCTTTTAAGTCCCTCAACTTTGGAGTTTTTAGTTATTAGACCCCAAAACAATATTTCCTCTCTCAAAAGTCTTTACTTAATGCTAAAATATAACAAAATTCTGGGATATTACAATGTTGGAGATGAAGTTTTTTTTTTTTTTTTTGGTATTTTATTATCTTAAAAATATACAAAATATTACATTAATTAAAATTACTAAAAGTATATAAAAGATTAATTAAAATTTATTAAAAATCATTGTTTTATATTTTCAAATAACTTACTGTCATAAAAAAAAAATCTCTCAAAAATATTGTTGGACGAAAGCCAACATCGCCTATGACTTAGTTTGGGAATACTGGCCTATTGCTGTAACTATTAATTTTTTAGTTTTTTAATATTTTAAGCATATATAAATATATTAACATATTTAATATTTATTTGAATTAATATTTTTTTATATATTTTAAATAATAAAAAGATATAAAAATTAAAAATTTAAGTTTTGAGAAACCTTATCAAACAAAATCCGTCGCGCTTGTTCCGTGGTCTTAAATGAGAGAGACGTTGACGAGTACGTATATTATTCTAAGTCGTGGAATCCATCACCCTATTTTATATATTTGAACATAAAACACTTGAAGACATCCATTTCTTCTCAAGCATTCATCCATCCATCCATCATCAAGACACCAACCATGTCCTCCTCAAACCCCAATTTGTTGCCAGCAGCCTTTGGCTAGGAATCGACGGCGTAGCCCCTGCGTCCTCTTCAGCCTGGAAACCGAAGGCCCTTGGTCCTTTGGCCTCTGTGACTGCTTCTCCAACTGTGCCAACTGTAAGTTTCCACTTGAAAATATTAGCTTCTTGGTCCTTAAAGCTCTTAATTAAAAGGTATATATAGTGGATAGTTTTCCTTCTCCTGTTAATTTATTTTGTAGGTTGCATCACATTTTGGTGTCCCTGTGTCACGTTCAGTAAATTGCTGAGATTGTAGATAGAGCGTCAACTTGCAAGTAATTTCACTTGTTTGGCCTTACGTGTAACTAAATTAGAAAACATAAAAGTGATGCGCAATTTGCTTCACATTGACTGCATGTCTTGAAATTATAATTATTGATACAGATTAAATCTTTTAATATTGGGTGGTTATCCCTTTCAATAATTACAAAATGTGTAGTCCACATAAAAAAAATTACAAAACTACTATTTCATTTAGAAAACCTAAATAATACCCTATGACTTTGGTTATATAAAATCATTTACAAGGTTTTTGGATTAGAGGATTTTGAGGGGAGGTGAGGAAAGCGAGGAAGAGATACCTCCTTCTCTTATTTGAATTATTTTTTTAATGGAGGGAGAGGGAGATGAAACTTGCCTCACTTTTCTGTTTTCTATCCCTTTATTTTGGGCAGGTTACGATGAATTTGGTATGTCCATTTATTTTTAAAAACAAATAAATATAAATATTTTATTTCAATTATTTATTTAATTAATAAAATATATTAATTTTATTGTATTATATTTTATTTTTCTTTAAATTATTTAATTAAATAAAAATAATATCATCCCCCCTCTTCTACATTTTTTTTATTTGAACAATGTTTTCACTAATTCTTTCCTTTCTTTCCTCCCCCTCCCTTCCATTTTCCTTTCTTTATTAATTTTATCCTATCCAAACATTACCTTAATGAA